CGTCAACAAACGTGTGAGGGTGGTAGTGCAGGATGGGAAGGGGGGACATTTGCTGAACACGCACTATCTGGACAACTTTGCGAACGAGTACAAGGGGTCGCGCTTGCACCAGTACCTGGTGAATTCGTAGAGCAGGGAATCGTCAATTTTATTGAAGAAGGGAGGAGAGGTGAGAGTCAGGTTTATTTTTTGGCGTGGGGAGGGGTACTTTACTGTGCTGGTATGGACGGCTGTCACACACAATCTGCATGCATGTGCTGGGTATCGGAAACCAATGTTGTACTCTCATTCAGGTGTCGGTGGCTTTGGTTGGGCATCGTGTAGTGTTGCCCATCATAGGCACAGAGACACGGGTCAGTAGCAGGGTGCTGCCCTTTTCGGCGCGACATTTGACGCGCATAATGCGAGCGGCTCTTTCTCTCTGTGCACTTTTTAAATCGGTCTCGTGAGTAAGTTGCGGGCTGCTCGGTGGCCTACCAGATACCAAACGCATCGCGCGCGCATTCTACACACACAAGAGCCTGCTGGTTGTTTGTGTGTTCCTGTGTTCAGATCTTGGTTGTTTGAGAGTCCTCGCCAGCATCACCACATATAACTCAGATGAGAGCAGGTCAGAAGCAGGATGCTGCAGTTTTGACGCCACGCCAGTCACACAAGCATTCAGACTGGACGGAAGAAACTGTCCTACTGCTGCTTTGTGTGATCTACTGCTGCTGTGTGTGAGCTCTTCCTTCCTTCAGATCTCGCCTGGTCTTGTTTGCGGAACGCTGCACCTTCACCCTTTACCAACACACGCTGGTCAGGAACATGAGGCTGCCGTTTTGACAGCCGCCCAGTGCGAGGACGCAGATCTCTGTCGCTCGTGTATTATGTATACGCCTGTGCTGCCATTCAGATGACGAAGAAGAAAGCCGGTGCTGGCGTCACCTCTCCTCCTCTCTCCGCCCAGGAGAGCGACTTGCGTTGGCGCCGCACCTGCATGGCTGCTCCTTATCCTGAGCTGTGCGAGGGTGCCCTCTTCCAGCCACAGTTCCGCGTCAACATTCGCCTCCACTCGGAGACCTGCAAGACGCCCGTGCCTATCCTGGGGCACTTCCTGAAGCAGCTGGTTTCCAAGCATGCCTATGGGGCGCGCGGGCGTGCATGACAAGTTCCAGAGCGATACAGGGTTGTTCAACGTCTACCTCGCGCCCTCAGGTGTGAACCACTGCCATGCTCGCGGCGCCCCGGCTTACTTGTTTCTCCTCTTCTCAGGAGGCGGCAAAGGCAAGGCCGTGGGGTGGACCAAAGATGTGGCGCAGAAATTCTCCGCCCACCTCATTCGCCACATCAACAGGGTCAACCGGCAGAGACGAGAGGAGGGAGGTGAAGAGGCAGAGCTCTATCCGTACCCCATCGGAACCGTCGTGACGAAGATTGAAGACGAACTAAGCAAAGGTCAGCCAAATGCACCATACCAATACGTCCCACACGCATGCAGACACGCTAATCTTGGGGTTCATCTGTTATCTGTTTGTCCAGCTAAACAGATAGAGGGTCTTAAGAGTTCTCTGCCCCTGCTGCCCAACCCAAACAGGCCCACGCCCACCGACAAGAGCAAGGACGAGACTTTCGACGACAGCAAGGACAAACGCAAGGACGAACGAGTGCACGATTTCTACATCGACGGATATGTCGCCTACTGGGATTACCTGTCGGACGACCACACATTTGCTGGCTGCAGAGAGTTTCTGTTCAGCCTAGGCAATACCGTTTTCAGTGCGATCGACGAGATTGGCGGCTTCATCGGTACATCCATATATATACGCATACACACCACAGACACGATGAAGGGATATGTCGGCTGGTGTGTTCATTTCTACTCATCTAACCAGGCTGTACAGCGGGGCCCAGTGTGGCCGAGGCGTCGAAGAAGGAGGCCCGCTTGTGTTCTATCGCCAGCAACGAACCATGGAGATTCACACGAGCAAACCAAGGTATAGGAAGGTCACTTTCATCCATTCATACACCTGTCCACACCCTTCCTTTCCTCAGATGTCGTCCTACAAATGAAATGGACACAAATGCGCCTCGTATCTAGGGGCCAACCTGCGACGTTTCTACTGTATATCCTCGATGACACACGGAAGGCATCTGGGCTGGCGTATCAGTTTGACGTCCATTTCTGTGTGAGCGCGCATTATCAAACTGACACACAAACACCCCTGCAACCTGCTGTGCACGAGCACACGCCACACACCATCTCTGCTCTCTTCTGTTGTCTCCTTTTCTTCCAGGAGCCCGAGTATGCGGACGCCAACTTCACCGGTATCATCGCACACGAGAAGGAAGAGAAGGACAGTGAGCGGGAGCTGCTCAGAGGGACCTGCGCGTGCACAAGTGGAGTTGGAGTGTGGGTATATGATGAATATCTGTGTGCGCACACCTGCGCATGCACGTTTGAAGTTGGAGTTTGGGCATATGACGATTGTCTCTCTCTGCGCACACCTGCGCATGCACGTGTGGAGTTGGAGTGTGGGTATATGACGATTGTCTCCATGCGCACACCTGCGCATGCACCTTTGGACTTGGAGTGTGTGTATGTGTCAAATGTGTCTGTGCGCGCACCTGCGCATGCACGTTTGGACTGTCTCTGTGCGTACACCTGCGCATGCACGCGTGGACTTGGAGTGTGGGTATGTAACGATCGTCTCTGTGCGCACACCTGCGCATGCACGCCTGCAGTTGGACAATGTGTATATACTCAGTGTTTCTATGTGTGCGCACTTTTGTGCATGCACGCCTGTAGTTGGACAATGTGTATATAATCAACGTCTCTGTTGTGTGTGCACCCCTGGAGTGCGCATGCTCCCGTCTAGTTGGACAATGTGTATAAATCGGTGTTTCCATGTATGCGCACTCCTTTTATGTATGCACGCCTGTAGTTGGACAACGCGAATATAATGAATGTCTCTGTGTGTGCTCACGGCTGCACGCCTGTAGTTGGACAACGTGTGTATATAATGAATGTCTCTGTGTGTGCTCACGGCTGCGCATGCACCCCTGCAGTTGGACAATGTGATAATCGGTGTTTCTGTGTGCGCGCACTTTTGTGCATGCACGCCTGTAGTTGGACAATGTGTACATAATGAATGTCTCTGTGTGTGCTCACGGCTGCGCATGCACCCTTGCAGTTGGACAATGTGTATAAATCGGTGTTTCCATGTATGCGCACTCCTTTTATGCATGCACGCCTGTAGTTGGACAAAGTGTATGTAATGAATCTATGTGTGCTCACCAATAGGTTATAAATCAGCGTCTTCAAGCAATTCAACGGTATGATTTGGAGAATAGAGGTGGTATATATCCCCCGATAGCGTTGTAAAAACCTTCATCTTCACCACATAACCCTACAACATCTGCACAACTCGATGAAAAACTAAAAGATTTTCTTTCCCTAAATTGGGGGATATATACCACCCCTATTCTCCAAATCCTATTATTGGTGTTTAAAAATGTCAAACAGGTGATGGTTCCTCCTTCCAGTTAAACTCTACAGGTCGAGTACAAAAAAAGAAGAAGAATAAACGAAACAAGGCGAGGGGAATAGGAGGGATGCTATGCAGGTTTACATAGGAATTGAATTTTGTATGTAATTTTGAGTGTAGATTACTTTCATCACCGCTCGCGGTTTGTAAAGCTCGCGAAGCTCGCACTAAATCGTGAGTGGCTTCTGTCGAGAACCGCGCCCACTGGTTCTCGCCCTGGCTTCATTCCGAGTAAGGGGCACCCACTGCGTGGGCACCCCGGGCCACGAACTGGGCGGGGGTCGAAAAAAGCGTGCGAAGTGGTGATTCAATTATGCGTCACAGAGACGTGTTGGCGAGAAGCACACCGACGCATGCAACAATGGCGAGAGTCTCAAAAACATGCAGATCTCGAAGACAGACGTGGCCATAACATGCAGGTACTCAGAGTGGCTGCACCTCATGTTG